CGTGGTAATAAACACCGTAAACAGCACCCGTTCGCGTGTCAGCGCTTAATGCGCATATCCTATATGAAAAGCATTTTAGGGGGCCCTTGGCTTTTGGGGGCCCAAGGCGGTCGCCTACCTTTGCCTAATGGGTAAGTCCGCCCCTGGTGAGGGGGGAATTGCTTTAGACTGTTTGCTTCTAATGAAGCATGTGCATGTGTGAGATAGAACCCAGCAGTGTGAAATCACAAAACTAATTTAAAAATGAAAATGCAAAACCATCCCCAAATACACATTTGCAAGTTATCGTGTACCCTGCACGCACATATATACCTTTTTTATCTGAGGAAATGTCATTCATGTAATGTTCACTTTTCCTCTTTACAGGCAGGCAAGTTTGAGGTCACTCCAGTGAGATGGAACTGTGAGAAACAGATCATAAGATTTTAGACGAGATGGAAATGGAAAGAGTGGAAAGCAGTGATTCCTAATTTTCTGTCAAACATGCAAGCAGAATCGGTGTCTGGACGAATAACTTAATGGGGCATTTGGAAATTTACATTTTTCACGTTACCCTTGTAAAAGTAATGCTGTGTTGGATCAAAGTAAAGGAAATGTCACCACATTAAATTGGTTTATTTTATTTCTCATAAAAAATATATATGAATAAAAGCAAATAACTAGTTTAATCAAAAAAAGGATTTTTACAATATTTTTATAATCAATCATAATGCAAGATCTTCTGCTGCCTTCACATGCTATCACATGCTATCAGAATTATTGTAAATATTTTCTAGTCGTAAATTGGACATGAACGGACTCTCAAGTCATATTTACAACTAGGAAACCCTGAGTTCTTTAGTAATGACGACCCATAGACACATATGCGTATCCTATTGTATGGTGCAGACAGACAGGTAACTGCTTATATCATGAATGCCAGTAACCACCACTGGCCTAAGCAAATAGTTTCATAATTCATTTACAATTGTATTTATTTATTGATGAAATCACATTTTGTGTCTGTTAAATCGGGTAAAACACACAGTTTTGGTTTATACAGACATAGATTGGGTTTGGCATACCAGTTTACTCTTATATCAAACAGTTAAACTCAACACAAGCCCAGCAAGATGAACTTCAGATCTGTCAGAGCTATTGGCTCTCACAGACAGGTAAATCACCCCATTGAGTACTGAAGGCCTTGCCTGTCTGTTGTCTGTACCCTAGGGCGTCTTCAGGTGGGGGGAAATAATGGTCAGCACTGATCTTTACTCTACAGACATTTTACACACTTTTAGGATGAAGACTTCATACTCTTTTAAAGCTCTGACTGCTTGTATGCTGAACGCTCAAGGCTGACATTGCTCAAATCAAGCAGTTATCTCTACGATGTGGTTAACTGTTAAATTCACATCATTTGTATTTGTTGCACCATTGTTCCTTTCTACATCGACATAATTGCTTTCCTTTGAAAGTAAATACACACTGAAATACTGGTTGTTTGTCTATTTCAGTAAGTCTTGTCTATGTGTGCTTGGTTCAGTGG